CCTTGTATTCATTGTACCATGGTATAGTCTAATTTATTATATTAATAATATGATATAGTATGAGAAAATATATTTAATTATAATATGTATTTATTATTGTTAATATGGTATATATTCTTTTGAGTTTAAAAAATAGTTTAGAACGCACAAAAGTATACTAATTGTAAAAAGTCACTTTACATCTGAGTTTAGCATGATGTATAAATTGACCTTCAATTGGCTGCATCAAAAGGTGGTTCTTTATTGATAATTTTTTATAAAAAGCGTTTCTCCATAATAATGTCCATAATTTCTCCATAATTTATAAAAAGCGTTTCTCCATAGTAAGTACTCAAACTGCCAATATTTGTCGAAATTAAATAAAACAAGTAAAAAAACAGTAAGTGCGGCTGGACCGAACTTTTGGAACGAATTTGAAAATTTTCAAAAAAATAAAATCCGTTAAAAATTATCTTAAAATCTTAAAAATACTGAATATAGCCGTTATATTGGGGTCAATATCAAGACGTGGACCTGCATAGTCAGCTTTTGTCATAAGCCATTACAATATTCAAATAAGAAACTTGAAAAAATCCAGTGAGTAATGAGCTGAAATCATCAAAATACCGAATATAGGGAGGTACCTTCATATCGGGGCTATACGAAGACCTGGACCTGCATAGACAATTTTCTGTCACAGGTTGTAGTACCTATTAGGAACTTCAAATACGAAATGTCAAACAATTTCGGTGAATATTGTATCTAAAATCGTCAAAATACCGAATATAGGGAGGTATTGTTATAGGGGATCTATACGAAGACCTGGATCTGTATGGACAATTTTCTGTCAAAGACTGTAGTTCCCATTACGAACTCTAAATACGAAATTTGAAATAAATTCGGTGAATAATGTCGCCAAAATCATCAAAATACCGAATATCGGGAGGTACCGTTATATGGAGACTATACGAAGACGTTGCCCTGCACACGCAATTTTTTTTTCATAGGCTGTAATACCTATTACGAATTCTAAATACGAAATTTGAAACAACTCCGTTGAATAATGTCCCTAAAATCGTCAAAATATCGAATATCGGAGGGTACCGCTGTATGTGGGCTGTACGATATCGTGGACCTATATAAACATTTCTTTTCCAGGGGGTAAAGTATTTAGAAAAAACTTCTAGTATGGATTTTTAGACAATTCCATTGAAAAATGTAGCTAAAATCGTCAAAATACCGAGTATAGGGAGATACCGTTGTATGGGTATTATACGATATCGTGGACCTATATAAAAATTTCTTTTCCAGAGGGTAAAGTACTTAGAAGGAACTCCTTTTGTGGATTTTCAGACATTTTCACTGAAAAATTTGGCTTCAATCATCAAAATACCGAAAATCGGGGGGTACCTTTTCATGGGGGGCTATAAGATATCTTGGACTGATATAGCCCATCTTCGAACTTGACATGTCTACAGACAAAAGACTGATCTGTGCAAAATTTTACCTTCCTATTTTTATTCGTTTTGACTCTAGCGGGGTTACAACAGACAGATGGACAAGGCTAAATCGTCTTAGAATTTTACGCTGATCAAGAATATATTTGCTTTGTTAGGTCTAAAATTATTATTTTTTTTTTGCCGGGTATTATAAAAAGTTTTTGGATAACCCAGTTGACAGTTGAGTTTTCGATAGTTTACAAATTCTTAGTGGAAATTTTCTTCAATTAGAAATAGCCAGTATTGTCTGCGATGGAAAATCAGGTATTCTGTGGTCAATATGAAGAAGTTTTGTGTAATAATTTAATTATGTTTCAGATAATAAAGGTTTGACATTGTATAAATATATTAAATAACATAAAATTCCGATTTTGATTCGATTTTACCAACATTTAAAAGCGGAAAGCAGCATATATTTTGCTAAAAAGCTGTTTTCTTCTTGAATTTTACTGAATGATATTCGATAACATTTTGCATTGTTTTCATGTGTGTGTGTAAGAGAGAGATCTCTCATTATGAGATTATGAAATAAAAAAAAATGAGATAAAAAAAATTGAGATAAAATTTGTATTTTGTTGTACATCAACAGTTTGACATATCCCCCATTCAAACACCACGAATTGTGGATAAAACTTTTCAATAGGTGCCACTTATATTTTCGATTCAATATTTTCCTTTTTAAGCGTCAATACCGAGGAAAAAATAGGAATTACGTTCCATTTGAACAATTTTTAACACCCATGTGGTAATTGGCAAGAATATGACTAAATTGAATTAACTGTGGCCAGCTACTCGACCCGAAGATAACAGCATTTTCGGTGGCTGACAAATGCGTAAACAACAGTTCAAAAAGCGTATTTATTTTATGTCTCACTTTTTGTTTAAGAAGTAAATTTCTTCATTTAACAAAATAAAGCAAAGAGTGTAAATAATATTGTAATGAAAGATTTTTTGAGCGAAATGTGCTCTTAAATAACAAATGTTAATAATTACCTGAGAGAACTTTGATTAAAGTTAGAAGACTTTGTTGAAGAATAAGTTTATTTTCAATAAATGAATTTAAAATTCTTATTGTATATAAAAAAAAAATTAAAAAAATAATAATAAAATTAAAAAAATAATAATTAATAAAAAAAATTAAAGATGAGTACACACATAACCCAACTTTTGTTCAAGATATTACAAAAGCCAACAGTCCAGTAAATGAGAACGAGCAAAGAGAACACTTTGACAGTTGAGTTACTGAGAGTTAGCAAAATCTTACTTGTAAAATATACTCAGTAAGAATTATCCAATAAAAATTAAAAAATAAAGTCCTTAAGTCGGACGGGCCGATTTTTTTGATACCCTACACCAATTTACATATTTAGTAGAGCTTCAAATAAAAAATAAAAGTTTTCATAAGGAATTTGTGACAATTAAATCATACCAACTATGATTATAGTTTTAATTTAAACTCCTAGGCTTTTGTGCCTTTTCAATTCGGAGTTGTATTATCCATTTGGTGCACAATGAATTTGAAATCGGATAAAGATATATATGGGAGCTATATCCAAATCTGAACCGATCTCCATAAAATTTGGCAAAATTATTTCTGAGCTGTATTTGATATACTTTCCCAAATATTGTTGTGATAGAGTGCATATTACGGATGTGGAGAACACATATTACAAATCGGATGAACAATATATATGGGAGCTATAGCTATGTCTGAAGCGATTTTCACCAAATTTGACAGTCTCAATTTGGTCTTAAGTGCAAATTTCCATCCCATTTGTATTAATATCACACGTTTGGTACACAATAAAAGGCAAATCGGACGAAAATATATATAGGAGCTATATCCAAATCTGAACCGATCTCGACAAAAATTTTGCAAAGGTATTTCTAAACTGTATTTGATATATTTCACCTTTGTATTTGATATATTGAGGTCTGTTAAACAAAGGAGGATATATAGACCTGCACCCTAAGAACTGCAACTGCATTCCTCCTCACGACACCAGCAGAGCACCTACGTAAGGAGACAAAGCGTTATCCCATACTTTAGCATAAAGTTATTCTTGGTGTTACCGTGGGAGTTATCAACAGTATCGTAGCAGAATTTCCCCTCCCAAACGTGCCAGGAAGGCACTAGAGGACGAGCAATAAGCGAGGTCACTAAGCCTCTAAAATAACCGATACAATATGAATGCCATCTTCGGACTCCATTCCTTTGCAGGTAAATAACGTCGGCATTCTGTATAAACCAGGGTAGTTTTGATCCATTTACGGTCAGAAAGGAGCATTCATATTGGGCGCCAAATGAAGAAGTCGACTGTTTGCATAGTACACCGCATACAATATGAACACCATCTTCGGACTCCATTCCTTTGCTGGTAAATGACATCGGCAGCCTGTAGAAACCAGGATAGTTTTTATCCATTAAAGGTCACTAAGGAGCATTCATATTGGGCGCCAAATGAAGAAGTCGTCTGTTTGTATAGTACTCCGCATACAATATGAACACCATCTTCGGACTCCATCCTTTTTCAGGTAAATGACGTCAGCAGCTTGTAGAAACCAGGGCAGTTTTTATCGATTTACGGTCAGAAAGGAGCATTCATATTGGGCGCCAAATGAAGATGGCGTCTGTTTGTATAGCACACCGCATACCTACCTAACTTACTTCGCAAGATTTATTGCTACAACCCATCTAAGTAACTGATTTTTTTAAACTTAAGGTTAGAGTCAGAATCTGATTTGCAAAAATCACGTCAATATAACAGAGAGGAGAGAGAGCTCCAAAAATACAAGGGGGAACATCTGTGTACATCAGTCTAACTATTCATATTCAGGAATAATATAACACTGATCAGGTCGCAGAATTAATTTGAAGAACATAGAGAGTACCATCTTCGGAAATCACCAGTTTTCCAATTCAACAGATGAACGACGACAGCTTCCTCGACAATCCAGCGTTGGTTTTGTCACAATTGATATCTGAACGTTGACGGCCGCTTAAATTCGACACCCGTAAAGCCACCACAATGCAGAGCATCTACCCATCTTTACTACGAACTCATCCTGTATAGGTTATCTGCTCCTTAAATTAGGAATTGCTGTACCATCATCCACACGTTTGGGCATAAAACTACTACGGGCTCATACTGTACAAGTTACCTACTCTTTAAACGGTGCATCCGCTTCAATTTGTATGGGACCCAAAATTCCACCACAATGCAGAGCATCTTCCCAACTTCACTACACACAAATCCTGTAGAGCTCTCCTATACTTTAAACTCGGCGTTAGAAGACGACAAACTATAGCACAACACTTGGAGCTGCTATATTATCATTCACATATTTTGGCAAATAAATACTTAGCTAAATATCAATCCAGATAAAACCTACGATTTCCCGCCTTTTCTAAATTTCCCCACTGTGAAACATGAGTTTTTCAAACCCCCTATAAAAGACTCTTGTAATTATATTTCCCTTCCATAGATTTATCAATATTGTTTTCCTTACCCTCAATTCCAGATAACAATTTGCCAACTTATATCCATGCTCACAAAGGCGACACACAATTAGTTCCCTCTTTTAATAAGAACATCCTGCCCCGAGGGAGGGAGAGAGAGAAAAACGATAAAACGCTTGCAAAACCTATTGTACCAAAATACCTTAATTGCCAATGGTTACACATCCTCATGAGAACCTAAATATGGAAGCTGTTAGAACGGGCAATTCTGCCCTGCTCACTAGCCAACGACGTGGCTATACAATATCACGTGGCACTCTAATACTTGCCGTGGCATTTTTCCTCTGTACCCTGGTCACGGTATCGGTGTTGATCTACAATTTTGCTACATGCGACAAATTGATACCGGCCGAGGATGAGAACATCGTCTGCACCACGGTACACTTGAAACACAAGGCGAACGAGACAAATGCCACATCGCTGGCCGTGCCACATCACGAGCGAGATGTACGCCTGCCACGTTCAATAAAACCGCTCAAGTACAATATCTCATTGGAGCCGTACCTGTTCGAGGGTAACTTTACCTTTGACGGTGAAGTTCAAATCAATATTCTGGCTGTGGAGGATTGCTACAACATAACCATGCATGCCGTCGATTTGAATATTTCCAAGAACGATGTAAACATACGACGCGGACGACGACGTCATGGACAGACACTCGAGAACACGAAGGAAATAGATAAAGAACAAACAACAAATGACTCCGATGGAACAGAATTGCGTATACGCAAACAATACCTGCAGGAGGCTAAACAGTTCTTCGTTATTGAGTTGTACGACAAACTTGTACAGAATACGGAATACGTGATTAATATCAAATTTAGTGGCTTAATTCAGGACACTTTGCAGGGCTTCTATCGCAGTTCGTATCAGGTGGGAAATGAGACCAGGTAAGGAATGTTCATTCGTTGGAGTGTTCTGCCATGCCACTAAAATGGTAATTTTCTTTTGTTTTTCTTTTCTGTTTTTTTTTGTATTTTCACTAATAGATGGTTAGCCTCAACACAATTCCAGGCCACCGATGCACGTAGGGCATTTCCATGTTTCGATGAACCCGCTCTTAAGGCGAAATTCGCTTTAAATATTGCACGACCAAAACATCTATCAACAATTTCGAATATGCCCGTAGTCAGGACGAGACAGCAGTAAGTATTGGAAGTTTATTAAATTAAATATGTGAATGTGTGTGAGTGCGTTTAGAAATTACACTGTCGGTCATAAAAATAATTACCAGTGATTGTGGAAGTGGAGGTAAGAATTGAAGACATGGAAACTTCAGGTTAAATTTTCTACATCACGAGGTAATCTTTTAAAGACGACATTTGGAGTATAATAATGAACTGAGATCACCAACAGAAAGTGGGGTAAAATTTTGATTTTCAGCAAGGGGGTTTTCTACAGGGCTATCGAACTTTAAATGCCTGCAGAATTGAATTTTCCCATATGCGATCATAAAAATGGGTCCTGTAACCAAAAAAAAAAAAAAAAGAATCGGACGGAAAATTAATTATGTATATGCTTGGGCGCCAGTCATACCTAGAATTGAGAAACAAATAGTATCCGTCAGTTTTGACAACAGATGTATACCCCCAGCCATGAGTTATGATTATTTACAATGTTGACCCTTTACAGGGGAGGTTTCGAAGCAGTTGGCCAATATTGTCCAATTCGTATCTGAACTTCTTCACCATCTTTATAACAGATCTTGAAATGAAATCGAATCTTAGTTTCGCGTTTTATGAGCTTCATGGGTATTCAAAATGTTGACCCTTTGTGGGGGTGGTACTAGAAGAAGTGGACCGATACATTCCATCTTCATAGCAGATCTTGAATAAGTAGAAATAATGGTAAGTGGGAAATATGAGGATAACCGAATGCTTATTTCGCATTTTTTGATAGTTTTGTTTATTCAAAATGTTGACCCATTGGGGGGGGGGGTGTGTACCAGAAGGAATGGTCCGATCTCCACCATTCTTATAACAGATTTTGTGTTGACGGAAGTATTGAGATGTGCCAAGTCTGAATAGAATCGGATGTTAAGTTCGCTTTTTATGAGCAAAATTTTGACCCTTTGTGGGGGAGGTACCAGAAAGAGCGGACCGATATATCCCACCATCACATAAGACATAGGGTTAATAAAAATATTGTGATGTGAGTAATTTGAAGAGATCCGGTTGCTTACTTCGGATTTTATGATCATTTTAGTAATTTAAAACTTTGACTCTTTGTGGGGGAGGTACCAGAAGGAATGGTCCGATTTCTACCATCTTTATAACAGATCTTGTGTTAATGGAAATATTGAGATATACCTAGTCTAAATGAAATCGGATGTCATGAATTCAAAACTTTGACCCTTTGTGGGGGTGGTACCAGAAAAAGTGACCGATATATTCCACCATCACACAAGACATTGGGTTAATAAAAATATTGTGATGTGAGTAATTTGAAGAGAACCGGATGCTTTTTCGGGTTTTATTTGGTAATTTAAAACTTTGACCCTTTGTGGGGGAGGTACCAGAAGGAATGGTCCGATACCATCTTTAAAACATATCTTTTGTTGATGGAAATATTGAGATGTACCAAGTCTGAATGAAATCGGATGATTATTTCGCGTTGTTTTAGCTTCATATCCATGAAAATGTTAAACCTATGTGGGGGAGGTACCAGAAGGAGTGGACCTAGATATTCCAACTTCACACCAGATCTTGTATCAATAAAAATATTAAGATGTGTTTATTTTGAAGACAATCGGACTCTCACATCACATTTTATAAGAGTTATAAGAGTTTGACCCTTTGTGGGGGCGGTACTTGATGGAGTGGACCGATATTGTTCATTTTCGCACCTGACCTAGCATTGATGCAAATATAAGGATTCACAAAGTTGGAGCAAAATAGTATTATTGTTTCTCTTTCTGTGCAGATTTTTTTGAGAATTTCGTCAATTTGTGGGGGAGGTACCAGAAGGAGTGAACCGATGTATTCCACCTTAACACCAGACCTTGGGTTAATAGAATTATTGGGTGGTGTGAAATTTGAAGAGAATCGGATGTTACATCACATTTTATAAGAGCTGTATTTATTCAAAAATTTGACCCTTTGTGGGGAAGGTACTTGATGGAGTGGACCGATATTGTCCATTTTCGCACCTGACCTAGCACTGATGCAAATATTAGGTGCAAAATCCGACTACCCTTTCTCTTTCTGTGCAGTAAATAATTTTATTTAAAAATGTTGAGATTTTCTGGGGGAGGTAACAGAAGGAGTGAACCGATATTGCCCATCTCCGGACTCGGCCTAAGTTTCACTATAATATTACGATGTACCAAATTTGGATACTCCCTTCGAGAGTTATCGTGCGCACCAGCCAGCCAGACAGACGGGCGGACATCGCTAGATCGATTCCAAATGTTCTGAAACGGATTTGGTCCAAAGAGACCTAGGGTCTAAAACCGTTATTTCGATGGGGCACGTTGTGGCTGTATCAAATGATAAATACCCTTTCTGGCTGAGGGTCTAATTAGTTATTGATCTCATTTAATTTATATCCTACTTTTTTAGCGATACCTTACCCGACTATGAATGGGATTACTTTGCTGAATCGGTGCCGATGTCAACATACTTGGTAGCCTATAGTATATCGGATTTCAGCCATTTATCGGAAGGCAATTTCTCAGTATGGGCTCGTCACGATGCCATACAATCAGCCTCCTATGCCTTAAGTATGGTGCCCAAAGCGTTGAAATTCTTTGAAGACTTCTTCGATATACCATTTCCATTGCCAAAAATCGATATGATTGCACTGCCGGATTTTGCATCGGGAGCTATGGAAAACTGGGGTCTCATTACGTACAGGTAAGATCAGTGATGATTCATCCTTCTTCAAAAATTATAATTCCTTTTTCAAACTCTTTTTTCCAGAGAAACAAGTATGCTCTTTGAAAAGGGCATCTCCGCCTCGACCTACAAACAACGTGTGGCCACTGTGGTGACCCACGAATTGGCCCATCAATGGTTTGGTAATTTGGTTACACCCACCTGGTGGAGTGATATCTGGTTAAATGAGGGCTTTGCCAGCTACATGGAATATGAATCCTTGAAGAGCATAGAACCCGATTGGCGTATCATGGATCAATTTGTGGTCAATACCTTGCAGAATGTCTTTCAATTGGATGCCATGTCATCGTCACATAAAATATCCATAGAAGTGGGGAATCCGGAGGAGATTAGTGAAATTTTCGATAGGATATCTTATGATAAGGGTTCAACGCTGATCAGAATGATGGGTCACTTTCTGACCTCACCGGTATTCCGCAAGGGACTGCACAACTACTTAAAGGAATTGTATGGATGGCCACACATATTTTTGGTTTTGTTATTTTTATCATCTTAATTTTTTGAAATTTCAGATCCTACCGTTCCGCCGAACAAGATGATCTGTGGCATTTCCTTACCTTGGCAGCCAAATCCGAAGGCTTGCTAGATCGTAATGCCACGGTAAAAGATATTATGGACACATGGACTTTGCAAGTGGGTTTCCCGGTGGTCCATGTCACCAAGCATCCCAATACGAATGTCATACGTTTGGAACAACAACGTTTTGTCTATAAGAAATTCAATAACACGGGCAATGCAACACAAGAAGATCCCCTCTGGTGGATACCCATTACCTATACCACCGCTGAGGAATTGGATTTCGAAAATACTCGCCCAATAACATGGATTCCCCGTTCCAAGATTTATGAAATCGAAAGTCGCAATTTATCTGCTGCCGATTGGTTTATATTTAATATTCAACAGAGCGGTTACTATCGTGTCAATTATGAATTACAAAATTGGCAAGCGATCATGGAACACCTAATGGATGTGAAGAAATTCAAACAAATATCGCCCTCGAATAGGGCTCAACTAATCGATGACGCCATGAATTTGGCTCGTGCAGGTTATCTGAGTTATGATTTGGCTTTGAATTTGACCAGATATTTGGTGCACGAGGATGATACAACGGCGTGGAAGGCAGCAATGAATGCTTTCAATTTCCTGGATGCCATGTTCGGAAGCATGGGAGAATATGATGTGTTTAAGGTGAGAGGAAAATAATGTTGAATTGGAAGAACGATACGGAGATATAATTGTGGGATTTTTCATATGGTAGAACAAATACGTTTTGATTGATCAGTATTGAAGCTGGAGAAACCATAAATTCTAGTACTTCTTTGGGCGGCATAGACATATGTCTTCTGGTTTCGACTTATGATCTCGTTGACTGAAATTCTCAGTCATCAGCTTGATTTGATCTTCCGTTTTAAAATATTCAGGTACTTCTCCTAACACACCTGCACGTGGGTATCCATTCTGTCAGATAATGTAATAGTCCTACCAAATAGCAAGCTCTCAATATTTCTGCCTGAGGAGGATTTGTTCTGAAAATAAATATATATCAGTCCATTTCTTATGGCTAGAGAGGGTATTTATCATTTGATAATGTGCCTCATCGAAATAACAACGGTTTTGGACCCTAGGTCTGGATTTGGAGTCGATCTAGCGATGTCCGTCCGTCCGGCTGTGTGGCTGGTGCGCACGATAACTCTCGAAGGGGTTAGCCGATGTGATCCAAACTATGTACATTATAATATTATTGTCAAACTTAGATCGGAGATGGGCAATATTGGTCCACTCCTTCTGGTACCTCCACTACAAAATGTCAAAATGTCTTCTCGTACCTCACCCACAAAGGGTCAAATTTTTGAATATTAATTTAACATCCGATTCCATTCGGACTTGGCACATCTCAATATTTCCATCAACACAAAATCTGTTATAAAGATGGTAGAGATCGGACCGCTCCTTCTGGTCAAAGTTTTGAATAACAAAAATGATCATATTTTGTAGAAGCCATCCTGGCAAAAAAATGATTACTATAGGCTCTCGTTTTCCTATAGCCTTTATATAAAGATACCTCAGATTGTAGTTATCTCGAGGGTCTTGGTTATGTTTTCCAATCCATTTGGCTTCAACAATTTTTCCAAAATTTCGCCAATTATTTTAATTTTCCAAATATTCAAATATTCCAATTTCAGAGATATCTGCTAAAACTTTTGGACAATCTCTACAATCAATTGGGCTTTTCAGAGTCGAAGAACGAAAACAATATGCTGGAACATTTCAAACGTGCTGAAATTCTTAACATGGCCTGTCATTTGGGTCATCGTCAATGTATTGCTGAAAGTGTGCGACATTTCCAAAATTGGATGCAGGTTCCAAATCCAGATGTAAATAATCCGTAAGTACCAAAAATTTTGGATTTGAATTAAATATTTTTAATATTTTAATTTCATCCCCCACAGAATATCACCAGATCTGCGAAGCATAGTCTATTGCACGGCCATTGCATTTGGTACCGAGGGTGAATGGGATTTTGCCTTTGAACGTTTCAAGATGTCATCGGTGTCAACGGAAAAAGAAATCCTTCTATCTGCCTTGGGCTGTTCTCGTGAACCATGGATTATCTCGCGGTTCTTAAAATATTCCATTAGCGGAGAGAATGACATAAGAAAACAGGATGTGTATCGGGTATTTATGGGTGTAACATCCAATGTGGTGGGACAGAAAATTGCCTTCGATTTTATGCACACCAATTGGGAGTACATGAAGTCATAGTAAGTGGCCGTGCTTAATCACGATTTACACATACATTTATAACAAAATATTCTCGTTTAGCCTCAGTAATGCCATGCTAACTTATAACATGGTCCTGGAAGTGGTCACAAAACGTTTCAATACCAAATACCAATTTGCCGATTTGCAGGCGTTCATTAAAAACGAATTGAAAGACTCAAGTCGTTCGGTGGAGCAAATACTCGAACATGTACAGGATAATGTGAATTGGATGGATCACAACTACAAAGTCATTGCCGAGTGGCTACGAGCGGAAGCCCGTAGACACGAATAAGTATTCTATTCAAACACACAAACCATTCAAAGTCCACCCACCCAAAATATATATATATATTTTTTTAAATGTATTTAATTTTCTTAATTTTATAACAAATTTACTTTTGTATATGTAATTATATTTAATATTATTACTCTTAAACATTTTTTGAGCTCTATTGTGTATTGTGTTTTATTTTATAAAAACTCAAAAAAAGCAAGTTTCAAACATATGTCAAATTATTAATGTTAAATAACAAGTGTACGAACAAAATAATAATAAAAGAAATGGCATCAACATGTTTACCACTTAAGTCCCGAAGAATAATCCAAAGAGTTAAAAACAGATCAAAAATTAATTTATTAATAAATGTATCTATGTACGTATGAATGAATGAATTTTGTTAGTAAAGTACTTAAAACAACATTCTTGAATAAAATAATAACGTTTTGAACATTTTGTCGAATGTAAATTTGTGGAAATTTTCTATTTTGATACCTCAGAGTCTCTACAAAATACGTATACAAATAGGCTATAACTAACATGCCCAAATTTTAAATAAAAGTTTCAAATTTAGATTTAGAATACCTAATTTAACTATCAATGCGGAACAATGGAATGACGTAATGTCCCTTTTATTTCTTTTAAATGTGATAAGAAATTCATAAATATTATAAAACTCCCTAGCCGTAGTCCAGGAGTGAAGCCGTAATTGTTTGATCAAGGTTTACCCTTGGGCTTTACCAAGAAGATGGAGCAATTTCAGCAATTTTTACCGTACTCCATGTGGGTTTATGCAAAGTTCTCCTACTAAAAAACATTCCAGAAGGATGACGTCAAAGTCAAACGTCAAAAATCTTCTTCATCAAATTTTACTGGAACCACCACAGAAAAGAAATCTATATTTCCATTATATTTCAAGAAAATATTTGCTTTAATATTGAAAAGAAAAACAAGTCAAATACTATTAGTCGGTTTTGCCAACAAATGTATACCCCCCGAAGCAGTTGGCTAATATTGACCAATTCGTATCTGACCTAAATCTAATATAAATATTACAACGTGACAGATCTGGAATATATCGACTACTTCTTGTACTTTATATGAGATATGTGCAATTTTTCGGAAAATGTGGAAATTGGCGTGAGGTAATAGATATAGAGGACCGAAGCATTCCATTTTTATACCCTCCACCATACTATGGAGGTTATATTAATTTTATCATTCCGTTTGTAACTCCTCGAAATATTCATCTCAGTATATATAAAGTATATATATTCTTGATCAGCGTAAAATTCTAAGTCGATTTAGCGATGTCCCTCTGTCTGTCTGTCAGTCTGTCCGTCTGTCTGTTGTAATCACACTATCTTTCGAATGAATTGAGATAGATGGCTAAAATTTTGCACACATGTTTTTTTTTTCCAGTAGGCAGGTTAAGTTCGTAAATGGGCCATGTAGGTCCACGTTTTCATATAGCCCCCATATAACGGTACCTCCCTATATTCGATATTTTTATGATTTTAGCGATATTATTCACGGGAATTGTTTCAAATTTGTTATTTGAAGTTCAAAATGGATACTACACATTAAGACGGAAAATTGTCTGTGCAAATCCACGTCTTCGTATAGCCCCAATATAACGGTACCTCCCGATATTCGGTATTTTGATGATTGTAGCGTCATTATTCACGGGAATTGTTTCAAATTTGGTATTTGAAGTTCAAAATGGATACTACACCCTAAGACAGAAAACTGTCTGTGCAGGTCCACGTCTTCATATAGCCCCCATATAACGGTACCTCCCTATATTCGGTATTTTGATGATTTTAGCGACATTATTCACCGGAATTGTTTCAAAATTGGTATTTGAAGTTCGTTATGGGAACTACAGTCTGTGACAGAAAATTGTCTGTGCGGGTAAAGGTCTTCGTATAGGCCCCATATATCAGTTCCTCCCTATATTCGGTATTTTGACGATTTTAGGTACAATACCCACCGAAGTTGTTTGAGATGTGGTATTTGAAGTTCGTAATAGATGCTACAGCCTGTGACAGAAAATTGTCTATGCTGGTCCAGGTCTTCGCACAGCTCCAATTTAACGGCACCTCCTTATATACGATATTTTGATGATTTCAGCTACATTATACGCCGTTTATTTCAAGTTTCGAATTTGCTTAATGGCTTATGACAAACAATGCCTATGTATGTCCACGTCGTATAGACCCCAATATAACGGCAATATTCGGTATTTTTAAAATTTTAACATAATTTTTTAAGGATTTTATTTTTTAAAAATTTCCAAATTCGTCGCAAATGGTGGAGGGTATTAAAAGTTGGGCCCGGCCGACCTTACTGCTTTTTAACTTGTTATACTTCATCTAATACAGATAAAAATATTGGTATATGCAAAATTTGAACAGATCTTTCGTTAGCAAAAATATTTGGATGTGTGAAATTTGAAGAGAGTTGGATGCTTATTTTGATTTCTTCGAGCGTTTTGTTTTTCAAAAATCTTAAACCCTATGTAATGGAAGGTACCAGAAGAAATGGTCCGATTTCTATCATCTTTATAACAGATCTTCTGCTGATTGAAATATTGAGATATACCAAGCATGGAATCGGATGTTAATTTCACGTTTTTTGAGCTTCATGGATACTCCAAATTGACACCAGACCTTGGGTTAATAAAAGAATTGTGATGTGTGTAATTTGAATAGAACCGGATGCTTATTTCGGATTCTATGATCTTTTTGGTTATTCAAAACTTTGACCCTTTGTGGGGGAGGTACCAGAAGGAATGGTCAGATCTCTACCATCTTCATAACAGATCTTGTGTTGATGGAAATATTGAGATGTACCAAGTTTTAATGAAATCTGATGTTAATTTTACGTTTTATGCGCTTCACGAATATTCGAAATTTTGACCCTTTGTGTGGTAGGCACCAGAAGAAGTGGACAGATAAATTCCATCTTCACAGCAGGCCTTGGGTTAATAAAAAATATTGTGATGTGTGTAATTTGAAGAAAATCAGACACATCACATTTTATAAGAGTTATAATTTTTTAAAATGTTAACATTTTGTGGGGGAGGTACTTGATGGAGTGGACCGCTATTATCGATTTTTGCTCCTGATCTAGCACTGATACAAATATTGGCAGACGGATGGGCGAACGGAAGTTAATTTGGTCCAAAGAGACCTAGTGTCTAAAACTGTTATTTCGATGAGGCACGTTTTGGCCGTATCAAATGATATGTTTAAGAAATTGCATTACTTTCATGCATCAACTGGAAAAAGGTCGAGGAATTGTTAATATTTTGCTTCTTAAATGCACACCTTAATCTGAGTTTAATTCAACCTTCAAACTACATAACACCCAGACGAAGTGCTTCTTAAATATACATTTTTTGCGGAATTTTCTTTTTAAAAATACTTTTTATTACAAAATTACACATTTAAAATGATTTATAACACATTTCATCAATCCGGTACCAGTCTGTTATGCAAATTATTTATAATAATTTAACCGCCCAATTTACAAATCTGGCTGAGAATCCAACCACTTGCGTATTGGTTCTTGATTATCTTTCAACCATTTGATGTTATTCTTAACCGTTTCCAAAGCTTGTTTGCGTGCAGCAGTACCAGCGCCAGCATCAGGATACTTTTTAAAGAAACTTTCCATTTCTTCTAATTTAGTTTGGGTGGCAAAACTGGAGGTTATTGCTGGAATCATGCGACCCAAATAACGTTCATTTATGCCAAAACGCTTGACCAGCCCCGGCCAATTTTCACGTACATAATCCCAGACCAAAGGTTGGCCAATGGGATTTGCCGAAATATACTGAAGGCAAGTAAAATAATCTTGGCCTCGAACATTGTTTTCATCCCAAGCCAAGTTGATGTAACTGTGAATAGAAATTTGAATGTGGAAATTATAAAAATAAATTTAAAGAAACTTTATTTGAATACCGTTGCAACAGCCAAGGTTGTTTAATGGCAGCCAATGCCTCCATGAGTTTGGCTTTCTCCTGGGCATCAGTTTCGCCAATGAAAATATCCCAAACTTGATTCCAGCTCTGTTCATTGCCCACACTGGCCATGCCATAATAATAAACAGTTGAACGAATATCGGGGTGAGGTCTCTGCGAGTGATTGGCCAGCCATTCATTGAAACGTTTGCCAGCTTCTTCCAAGGCCTCAGAATCACCATATTGGCATGCGGAACTTAGCACCGTAACACGCAAAAGACTGTAACATAATTAGTAAAAAATGAATGCATCAAAACAAGAAAAAATAAAAAAACATACTTTTGCAAGTGATCGCCACAAACATCCCAGGTCACAGTTTGACAAACATTTCTCAATATCAGGCGGGCATATTTTACAAATTTACTATACATATCGGTGGCATACAATAAATTGGTTATGTTTCGGAGGCGTGAAGCGCCCACAACCCAGGGTACATAGTCCAGTTCTTTTCTCAAATATTTACTCAAATCCAAAGCAATATTATAATCCAATTGTCCAGCATCAGCTAATGCAAATGCATCACTAATCAAATGTGCCCGATCAGCATTGGAAAAGTCGCCACGTCTAAAGATTAATGTTTTGATAAGGGCTTGCCAAACATCGGTGGGATAATTTACAAGGTAATAACCAACTTGATTTTTATTCAATTTAATCCATTCAATGTCCTCGGGAACGATGAGAGTAACTAGGTGAAAATATGAGATTTAAAATTAGATTTGAAAAGTTTTAGGAAAAAATAAAAAAGTAAAAAACCATTTGGAACAAACTTCAAAAATTTTCAAAAATTAAAAAAAAACTGTTAAAATCTTAAATATACCGAATGTAGCCTATATATTTGGGTCTATGCGACAAGGTAGAACGGCATAGGAAATTTTTGTCATAAGCCATTACAATATTCAAATGCGAAACTTGAAAAAAATTCGGTAAATAATGTCGCTAAAATCATCAAAATACCGAATATAGGTGCCGTTATATGGGGGGTTATACCAAGACGTGAACCTGAACAGAAAATTTTCTGTCTTAGGCTATAGTATCCATTACGAACTTCAAATACCAAATTTGAAACATTTCCGGTGAATAATGTCGCTAAAATCATCAAAATACCGAATATGGGGAGGTGCCGTTATATGGGGGCCATACGAAGACGTGGACCTGCACACACAATTTTCTTTCTTTCTTAGGCTGTAGTATCCATTACGAACTTCAAATAATAAAATTAAAACATTTGCGGTGAATAATGTCGCTTAAATCACCAAAATACCGAAAATAGGGAGGTATTATTTTATGGGGGCTATAAGAAGACGTAGACCGGCACAGACAATTTTCTGTCTTAGGCTGTTGTATTCGTTGCGAACTTCAAATACCAAATTTGAAACAATTCCGGTGAATAATGTCGCTAAAATCATCAAAATACCGAATATCGGGAGGTGCCGTTATATGGGGGCTATACGAAGACGTGGACCTGCACAGACAATTTTCTGTCTTAGGCTTTAGAATCCATTACGAACTTCAAATACCAAATTTGAAATAATTCCGGTGAATGATGTTGCCAAAATCATCCAAATACCGAACCGAAAATACCGAATAACGGAGGTGCCGTTATATGTGGGCTATAGGAAGACGTGGACCTACATGGCCTATATTCAATACCAAAAGTCCTGTAGACATAATATACTTCATTTCGTTCGGAAGCTAGAGTGATTTCCACAGACGGACAGACATCGCTAAGTCGACATAGAATTTTACGCTGACCCAGAATATATATACTTTGTGGGGTCTAAAATGTAGATTTCGAGGTGTTACAAACGGAATGACAAGACTTAATATAACCTCCATACTACAGGGTGAGATGAAAAACTGCAACCAACTTCAGACTGCTGTCATTTTGCCACTTGTCCGACAGCTGTTAAAATTATTATTGGATGATATAAAAATGCCGAGTTCAAAGGATAGAAGGATACTAGCCGAATAAGGACGTTTTGATTGGCATAGCTTTGGAATGAAATAATAATAAATAAATTTCGACTAAAATGTAAATTCTACTCCTGGTCATTATTCCATGGCAATACCAAACATACCTTCTTTGTCATCATAGTTAAATATTGTACGTTGAACATCACAATTTGCGTTTGTAAAATATGTAATGGGTATGGACCAACGATAGCTTTATCAAAAGAGGAAATATAATTAAAAATACAAATAAATTTAATTCTTTGTATAACACTTACTTGAATGGAGAATCATCATAATTCCCGTTGTAGTCCTCGGGATTGGCCAAGAAACGTTTTTGACTCAGAATAAAAGAATCACCCTGGCGTTTAACTTCGACCACAGGTAGACCCATTTGTTCCGTCCAGGTTCTCATAATAAGTCTAAATATAAAATGAAGTAAATATTATTAAATACAACAAAGATCCAAAAAAAAAAAATAGAATTATTATTTTACTTACTTAACATCAAAGTCGAATTTTAAGGCTTCTACTTCGTTCAAGAAATCATTTGTCTCAGCATTGGAGTAACGCATTTTATTCAAATAATTAGTGGTAGCTTGTCGAAATTTATCGGCTCCAACTAAATCTTCCAGCATACGTATGACCGAGGCACCTTTGGAATAGGTTATGCTATCAAATAGTTCTGTTATTTGATCAGGATTTTCCACCTTCTGGACAATGGGATGTGAGGCGAGGGTACTATCCAATTTCATTACACCATGCAATTCGGAAATTATGAATTGATCCGACTAGATAAGTAAGGAGGATTATGGGATATTAGTAGAGGGGTGTATAAATATTATATAAAACAATAACGAAGAACAAACAAGGCTGAATGTCTATTCCAACACTTAATTTAAATGAATATTGGATCTTGTTCTCTTTTAACTTTTCGAATAGAGACAAAACATCTCCTAGCACAGTATGGAGTAGGTTTTGAACATTGGATCTTGTTCTCTTTTAACTTTTCGAATAGAGACAAAACATCTCCTAGCACAGCGTGAAGTAGGTTTTGAATTTTAGGATTTAGGATGAATTTTTGGATTTTAGGATTTTACTTGTTCAATTATTTTATCGAGAGTGTCAAGTCATCATTCGAAGGCCCACCGATAGACCAAAGCAAAAAGTGTGCTTTAAGAACAATATTCTTATGTACGAATACCTACCATATCCCAATTAGGATGGACATGATTGACACCTTTGTATTGAATATGAGTGGCAAAACCTTCATTTAACCATAAATCGTTCCACCATTTCATTGTAACTGCAAAAGCCAATGTTAAAAAAAAAAAATGCTTATCGTTTAAAACCCCTCCTAAGGCAATAACAATAATAATAATAATAATAACAAGTACTTTATATAGTAGTATAATGTATGTACGTATGTATATATCATGAAATTGTGAATTTATTTACTTTTATTATTGAATTGTTTTTTAACTCAGGTTTAAGGTAGGCTATGTAATAATTATGTATGGTCTATTAGGCCTTTTTATTACAAATGGATTAATAAATAAATAAAATAAATAAATAAAATTGCCAAACCACATGTGGGCCAACTCATGGGCCACAACTGTTGCCACACGCTGTTGATTAGCACTGGAACTTATGGTCTTATCGTAGAGTAGCGCTGTTTCTCGGTATGTCACCAATCCCCAATGTTCCATTGCACCCGAAACAAAATCTGGTATAGCAGCCATGTCAAGTTTCGGTAAAGGATACGAGATATTAAAGAATTCAATGTAATACTCAGTTATGCCAACACCCACATTTAAGGCATAATTTACTTTGTCAACTTGGGCGGCTGTTGAGAAGACACGCATTGGAAAATCGGGCACATTCGGCAATGTGCCACGAACCGTTTTTTCTTGATGGGCAAAATCGGATATAATGAAACACGATAAATAGGTGCTCATGGGTACACTTTCGGCAAAGTGTACCTCGGTTAAATCGTTCTCTATATCCTTCTCACACTGGAATAAGGGACACACATTAATGAGCTATAAGGGACATTATTTTGACAATAACAAATACCTCTACATTCATATTGGAAAGGGCGTGATAGCCATCACCGGTTGGTCTCACTAGCGTTATTGAAAACTTTGCTTTCATATTGGGTTCGTCAAAGCATGGGAATGCCTGCCGAGCATAGGTAGGCTCAAATTTGGAGGTGGCTATGGATCTAAAGGAAAATAAAGCATTAAATACATATTTTTTTAAATGTTGATAATTGAATTTATATTAATAAATCATTGGCTTAAAGAAAGTGATATGTACATGCCAAAAAATACCAACTCATCCATTGGCTATACAATAAATCATTTTGGAATATCAAGATAAGAGTTACATTTCTACCTACCGTTTCACATTACGCTGCTCGTCCAAGTAGGAACTTTGATAGAAGCCTACAATGCGATCCACCAAAGAGCCATTAAATGCAAAATCAATGGAATAGAATCCAACTTCCAAGGGTTCAGGGAATTCCGTTATCCAATATTCAAATTCAGGATATTCATATGTCAGGGATGGGGTTAAGCAACGCACCGGTTGAAAATCTCCGTCTAGTCGTTGGACATTTTTAGTTTCCACGTTAAGTAGTTTCGAGTGTACGGGTATAAAATAAATGGGTTTTTGTACTTCCAATCGTAGCGTTACACTTCCCAAAAAAATTTTCGTCCCTAAATCAGGCTGCAGTCTTAGTTGATAGTGAAGGGGGCGTAATTCCTTGGGCAGGCGAAAAGATAATAGATGCTTTACTTTTGATGTGGCCATTGTGGAGCAAAAAAGACGACTAATCTTCAAAACAGCGAATTGGGTACTTAATATTCTTGCAAATTGTTATCTGGCTAACAAGTGTTAGAATGGGATGGGATATACCGGCGATTTGGTGATTATAAACAAAGAAACTGTGTGATCCACACACACACACAATGCTCCACCTATCGTTTGTTTTGTTGGTTGTTCGTTGCGAGTGTTGGAAACAAAAATGAAAAACGTCCCAACGAAACGAATATGAAGGTCACAAAGGAATACACGATAAAAAATAAACAGAAAGCAAAGACTCGGGGAACTCTGTTGTTTACAAATGAGACATGAGAAAATTGAACATCTTCTTCTTCTTCAATATTCGCAACAAGTGATTTGTAGATCGCAAAAGCAGTCAAAATAAATTATTCACTGTAGAGAACTGTTCAACTAGTTCACTCAATGTAACGGTAATTTATGTGTTTGCAAATTTAGTGGAAAATACGACTACATTAACAACTGACGTTTATTTTTATACCACGAAAAAAATGTTTTTTCTATTATCTGCTAAAAATTCCCAACGTGCACCAAAATACAAAGCGTCATATAAAATTTGACACTTATATGACAGTAGAGTCGAATCAGCGGTTTATTTGACATAAACCCAAGGGAATTGACAGTGTAAATAACACGATTCATCGTAATTGGTCGGCGTAAGTAGGAAATGGCATGGAATGGTAGGAAGAAGAAGAATGGTAAAAAACGAAGATACAGATACTAAGTAAAGCTGCGAATACATAAAGCGCTTATTTGGCTCGCTTAAGTCATCGGCAGGCTTCTTCGGATATGAACAAAGGAGCCTAGGGTCAAAATCGAACTAAGTCAACCTAAAACTCCTTTGTTCCTCTACGAAGAAGCCTGCCGATGACTTAAGCCAGTCAAATAAGCGCTTTATGTATTCCCAGCTTAAAGCCTTTCATCCAAGACACAGTTCTTTCAGATATCTCGGCAACTAATAAGACGGATAATTACTCTTAAGAGACCAAATTCCCAAAAAACGTGAAATGAAAAAAAAAGACTTCTTTATAAAATTTATCATATGAAAAAAAAAAAACCTTATAAAAATTTGCATATCACATGGGAAGAGAATTGAGTCCTATGGAGCAAAAACAATAACAATGCGCTCCACGGGAGGCAGAACCAAATATGAAAACTAAATAACGAACTTTTCGAATATCAAACCTTTAGAAAATACCAAATATCAGAAGGTATCGTTTACTGCAATAACCGATTTTCATGATATCGAAGAAAATTGCAATAAAGTAGATTCTTTCAGATATTGAAACATAGCAAATGTTATGACATAGGAAGGATATCCCATTACGTATTTAAAATAATTTCGATTGAATTTAAAACATTTCCGATAGAAATTGTGTGATAAATTGGCAAAATACATCATCTTTGGTTCGTACTTTTTCAAAGATTCTGCGAATCGTAATGTAATTGTGATCCAACTTTTTTTGTCCAAAATGCTAGAGCTTGACTTGCATGATGTGTGCCACAATTCGTTATGAAAGTAACATTTTAACACTTTCTGGAGCAGAGAAATAATAACTTTAACTTAATGCTCCGTTAAAGACACCAGAAAGAATCTACCAATTAAAAAAATAATCGCATTTTTTCGATATCATAAAGGGAAAATCGGTTATCGGAATTGAAAATTTTAAATGAAAATTTTTTTAAATTTGTGAAATTACTTTAAAAGTTCTTTGTCCAAAAATCGAGAGTTTGACTTGTGCCACAATGCGTTATCAAAGTAAAAATTTTTGCAGTTTCTGGAACAAAGCAATAATAACCTGAACTTATTGCTCTGTTCCAAAATTGCTCTGCTTTAAAGAATTACTCATGGTACAATAAAAAGATAAAGTAGAGCTACCAGCTGATTACAATTTTTTTCTGAGTATGCCCTACTTCAATTTTGTGTATGTATTTATTGTTTTGAAAAATAAAAACAAAATATTTTCAAAATCAATGATTGGAAGATATTAACCAGTTTAGCCATGGAATTGCAATATTGGACACTCTGGATTATATTTTTGAATAATATTTTTGAAATAAATGTAAAAAACTTGTTGCATATAATTTAGAATAATTCTGACAGGAAGCGGGCATAGCTTCAGAGCTGTATTTCTATAGTTTTAGAAGCTGTATTGCATAATGGAATTACTACTATTTATGCATTTGTTTCTCTATACCGTAAAGGGAAAATCGGTTATCGTAGTAAACATTTTTACTTTTTTGCAGTTCTGGAACAGGCCACATATGTTTTCTGTGGTCAAATTTATAATACATTTAAATTAAATTTTTCTTCTTTTTATGATAATTTATTAGATGTAAGGGGTCAGGGTTGATCCAGAGTTTTAGGTTGGCTTTATTCTATTTTGGCCATAATTAAAACATTGTCACCCTAAAGTCCTTTGTTCTTTTATGTAAAAGTCAACCGGCGACTGATGCCACAAAAAAATTCTTAAGGTGCAAGAACATAAAGAATTTTTTTAAGGGCTTAAGTAACCCGCCGGCTTTTTCCTAAAAGAACAAAAGTTCAGTTCAATTTCGACCCATAATTTATACTTGTTCACCCTACGCTTCTTTGTTCTTTTACAAAGACGGCAGCCGATGGCTTATGCTAAACAAAAAATCGTTTTTAGATTCCCACCTTAGCTATTGAGGCGACATACTAAAAAAGGACGCAGACAAACTTAATATTCGATTGCCCAAGCTATCAATCGATATAGACATATACAATTAAATATATCGATGTTATCGACAATGGCATCGATTGTCTGCCAGCTCTACTTCTTGTTCAGTGTCAAGTGTCATTTAGAGAATCATAGAGTCGGTTTTTGTCTTAAATTAATTTTGAATAGAATGCATCCGTACTAACAAACTAATCTAATATAAAAATAAAAGTGAATAAACAAAATAAATGAGCATAAAACCAAATCACAAAAACGAAGAAATTAAAAGGAATATTAAAAAATAAAAGAAAGGTGCTACAATTTACAGTGAAATATCTAAAATATCCACACTACACAACCAACCACATAAAATACATACACACAAAATACAAAAAAGAAGAAATATGTACATAAAGAGATCGCACAAAAGAAACATATAAATGTTCGTCGTACGTTGGTCGTCGGTCGGGTCGTGGTTCTCGCAAGCTAGCCTATTATAATTAAGTTTGTAAGAAATATTAAAAACAAAAAATTGCTGAAAAATAAGTTCTTCCAAGTAAATGATTAAACAAATTCGTTGTTAACGAGCGAACGGTGGCAACATTTATGTATGTGTGGAGTAATGTGTGTAACCGAAGTCGTCTATGTTAATGATTTCCTTAGAATCGCCAAGAAAACTACAGAAGCGGCAGTAGCAGCAACAGCGAAGAACTTGCCGCAAAAAGAACAAGAAAATATAGTTAAAAAAATAAATATGAGTTGTTGAAAGCAGTAACAACAGCAACAACAACAAACAAAAAAAGCACGGCGGATTGTGGAAATAGTTGTTGGAGCTTTATCTATAACAGCATAACAAAAACAACAACGACTGAACAACATTAATTTGTTGATAGCTTAAACAATTTTAAGCAAAACTCTCATCCCCAGGGAGGTAAATATATGTAGACAAGCGCCGAACAGTGCTCAGCTGCGCTGCGCCGCGCCTCGAACAGCATACAAAGGAGACGAAAAGAACAAAAAAAGATATGAAACCACAACAGACTACTCCTCCTAAATTCGTAGCCGTTGTTCGTGGTGTGGTGGTGGTGATGGCTGGCTGGTTGGTTGGTTGGTTGGCGAAAAAATTGCACATATTTTCAGTACAAAATTCAATGATTCCATTTCCAATCTCAAGTGGCTTGCCAGCAAGCCTTAGCCTGACTGTCTTATTTAAATGTGGATGGATGCTGGATGATGAAGATGGTTGGCCTTTGGTTGTGTGTGGGGGATAGTTCGAATGACGACGACGACGACGATGATGATGATGATGTGTGGAATAAACAACACATGAACGGGGGGAAATGCCATTTGTTCGCCCATTCGTTCGTTTGTTCGTCGTTCATGTGGCGGCTGGGCTGATGGTGGTGTCGTCGGTGGCGGCGTAGTTGTGTAGTAATCTCAGTGTGTAGAATATCGAAGGAGATGGTGGAGAAACATGTGTTGTTTTGCTCTATGTTTGTGTTTACTTTTTCTTTTCAATTTTCCCCCATTCAGTCCCCTCAACCTTAACCCCACTCGTCCATACATCAGCCGCCTCAGCTACTTGCTCTCTCGATAGACTCTCGCTCGCACATTTTCAAGTATTTATTGCCTATTATCGAAGGTAAGTGGCTGAAGGTCCCCTTTGAGTGGCTGCTACAACAATAATAACAACACGAGTAATAATACATTTCTATAATCAGGTCTATTCCTGATATGGATGACATGGGCGGACACAGTGGTCTTGCTCTAAAGTTGATTTCATTCATGGAATCATTGCGAGTTATCGCAATCGAACATATGTGCGAAGACGACTCACTCCTCCCAAGGAATTGTGAATTTGTGTTGGTATACTAGAAACTATGGAACAGCAGCAGCAGCAGCAAAAGAAGCAGAAGAGGAAGCAATATATGCATATATAAGTGTGTAGTAAAAATATGTGTGTGGCTGGATGTGTTTCTATAGGTACCTGTGCACCGCCCGTGATTGTAGACGTCCATCGTCGCTGTGGCCGTTTTCGTTGACGACGTCGTCAAACCAACAGATGATGCAAAGCAGGTGGAGGCTGGCGGGGAAGAGATGAAATTCGATTTACACAACTCAAAAAACAACAACACCAACAATAAACATATGCACGTTTATTTTAATTGTTTTAAACAATATGTGGTTTGGCGCTTGCTTTAACAAAAAAATGAATCTCCATGTGTATGTCTGTGTTTACCCCCATTATCCAGACGTCATACGGCCGCCCTTGGCCAGTCATAATGGGCAATAATTTCACAATTACAATATTCAACATTTTCAGTTTTTGTTCTTTTTCATTCATAAAATCCAATTCAATCGCAACCAAAACACATCCACAAAAAAGTAGAAGAAAAAAAACAAATACTTTGCTGACTGCCTCTATTAAATTAATTCAATACACATTTTTTGTTCTTTTCCTTGTGGTGCAAATATAAACGCACACACACACAGCATCGTTTGTACGTACAACCGACCAACCAACCATTGTCGGGGGTTTATCCGCTGAAATATGTGGTTCCAAACAATTGTGCAAATTACTGTGACAACAACAACAGCAACACACCAGACTAATACTTTTCTTTTTTTTTTGCTGTTGCTGGCTGGCAGCCTGCTGCAGTGCACAATGTTCAACCGGCAACTGTCAACCAAGTTTGTATGTAGGCGACGAGATGATATGACGTTTAACGTTCTTTATCAATTGTCACAAATGGGGTATTTAATAATTCATTTAACAGAAAAAATATGGACATGAATGTGTGTATGTTGCGATGTAGGAATTATTTTTTGTTAAAAGAGATCACATGTTAAATTCATCCCTTCTCTCCGGGTAGGTCTAACACCGGCTATGCGATCTAAAGCTTTTTTAAATTTGATGCTTTTTCTCTGGGCTGCAGGACTTCGCTCAAGACTTGTGATTTTCTTTGGAATATGTCCAAAACCGGCTAAGCTATTCAATATTTTCTAAATTTGAACATTCTTAAGTAGTCGTTTGTTGGAAAGTTCGCATGTTAAATCCACCCCTTCTCTTGGGGGAAGGTCCAACCGGCTTCGCGATCCAAAGCTTTTTATATCCTCCACCATAGTATGGAGAGTATATTAAGTATGTCATTCCGTTTATAACACCTTGAAATATACATTTTAGACCCCACAACGTGTTTATATTCTTGATTAGCATAAAATTCTATGTCGATTTTGCGATGTCCGTCCGTCTGTGGAAATCACCCTAGCTTCCGAACAAAATTAAGTAGGTTGATAAAATTTTACTCAAATGAATATTGAGTCTGCAGAACTTTTGGTATTGAAAATGTTCCACGTTTTGTTTTAGTCTCCATATAAAGGTACCTCTTTTTTTCTGCATTTTGGTGATTTAAGCGACATTTTCCACTGGAATTGTTTCAAATTTCGTATTAGAAGTTCGTAATGGATATTACAGCCTATGACAGAAAATTGTCTGTGCAGGTCAACGTCTTAGTATAGCCCCCATGTACCTCCCGATGTTCGGTATTTTCATGATTTTAGCGACATTATTCATCGGAATTGTTTCAAATTTGGTATTTGAAATTCGTAATGGATACTACAGACTAAGAGAGAAAAATTTCTGTGTAGAATGGTTCATCCTGATATTCGGTATTTTGATGATTTTAGCGACATTATTCACCGGGATTGTTTCAAATTCGGTATTTGAAGTTCGTCATGGATACTACAGCCTAAGAGAGAAAATTGTCTACGCAGGTCCAAGTCTTCGTATAGCCCCTATATAACGGCAACTCCCGATATTCGGCATTTGGATGATTTTAGCGACATTATTCATCGATTTTTTTTTTCAAGTTTCGAATTTGAATATTGTAATGGCTTATGACAAAAGTAGCTTATGCAAGTCCACGTCGTCATATTGACCCTAATATAAAGGCTACATTTGGTATTTTTTAGATTTTATCATAATTTTTAAGGGATTTTATTCTTTTGAAAAATGCCTAATTCGTTCCAAATGGTGAAGGGTATTGAACTTTGATACCCGCCCGAACTTACAGCTTTTTTTCTTGTTTAATAAAATTTGCCAGCACTTGTGATTTGCTTGGGAATATTTCCAATGCCGGCTAAGCGATTCAATATTTCCCAAGTTATTTACCGAGGGATGATATATATTATATATATGAAAAGTCCAAATCGGTCACGCAAACCTTAGATTATGCGAACTTCATAGGTGTCCTAAGCTGTGGCATTCGTTGTTTTCGATAAAACAATTTTTTGATTAAATCAAATTAAAACAAGTAAAATAGTATGAGGCGGTTTTGCCACCAGATGTATACCCCCAGCCTTGGGTTATGATTATTTAAACTTTTGACCCTTTATGAGGGAGGTTCCGGAGCAGTTGGCCAATATTGAACAGTTCGACAGATGTACATCATCTTCACAACAGAACTTGCGTAAGCAAAAATATTTGGGTGTGTGAAATTTGAAGAGAGTCGGATGCTTATTTCCCTTTCTTTGAGCGTTTTGTTTTTCTCTGTGGGGGAGGTACCAGAAAGGGTGGGCCCATGTATTCCATCTACACACCAGAACTTAAGCTAGTGGAAATATTGCGATGTGTGTAATTTGAAGACAATCGGACTATTACATCCGATTTTATAAGATTTATAATTATTTAAAATTGTGACCCTTTGTGGGGGAGGTACTTGATGGAGTATACCGATATTGTCCATTTTCGCACCTGACCTAGCACTGATGCAAATATTAGGTTTTGCAAATTCAGAGCAAAAACGGATTATGCTTTTTCATTCTGTGCAGAAAATTATTCTCTTTGATAATGTTGACAATTTGTGAAGGAGGTACCAGAAGGAGTGGACCGATATTGCCATATTCCAATTACTATGTACTAAGTTTGGATCAAATCGGATACTCCCTTCGAGAGTTATCGAGCAGACCAGCCTGCTTGACAGATACACGGACAGACGGGCATCGCTAGATCGACTCCAAATGTCCTGAATCGTCTTTGCTCCAAAGAGACCTAATGTCTAAGTCCGTTATTTCGATGAGGCACGTTTTGGCCGTATGTAATAATATATACGCTCTCTAGCAATGTGGCTGAGGGTATAGTAAACACAACAGGTCCAACGAAATCAGTTTAAATGGATTCTAAGACTAATATAACTGTGTCGAGAGAAGATGTCGATCATGTAGAGCCATATCGAACTGACATATTTACTTTTAGCTCTAATTCGGCAGTATGTGCCAAAAACGTAGTTGCCCCGATATTTCAAATTATAAACTGTTTGGTGAGCAAATCGAAACTGATCTATCATCAATTTCAATAGGATTAGTCTTTGTGCCACACAAATGAACTGTCACCTGGCGACGTACATCCTTTTGCCTGTTGCTAACATATGCACAAAGACATTATACCCGGTAGTACAGTGTGGTTTAGGGTACAAAAATTCAATATTGGTCAAGTTCAATGAAAATACTGCAACTTCGAGATTTAGGTACAGAACAAGTTGAGTGTTGGTGATATCTCCAAATCCTTTTGAAAAATTTTCCACAAATATCTATTTGTTCCCAGCGTATTTTTTAGGGAGGGCCGGTTATTCGATACGATTTGATTTTGGAGGCGAAAAAAATATTTTGCAGGATTTTCTTTGGAATATGTCCAAAACCGGCTAAGCTATTCAATATTTTCTAAATTTGAACATTCTTAAGTAGTCGTTTGTTGGAAAGTTCGCATGTTAAATCCACCCCTTCTCTTGGGGGAAGGTCCAACCGGCTTCGCGATCCAAAGCTTTTTATATCCTCCACCATAGTATGGAGAGTATATTAAGTATGTCATTCCGTTTATAACACCTTGAAATATACATTTTAGACCCCACAACGTGTTTATATTCTTGATTAGCA